GAAGTGTGACTTCGACGTTAGCTAGTTTGTCACACCACTCACGTCTAACTCGAGTAAGCCTCCAATCATTTCTACATAGATCATCCACGCTGATGATCTACACATGACAATGAACAACTCTGCCCCATTCTTATGCACAGGAAAGCAATTCTTCAAAGTCTGGTTCGTTGAATACCATCATGGTCTTATTGGTAACTTTTGCCCACTTATTCTGTAGATTAGTGGCAGATGTGACAATTATTTCCAAATTAGCTGCGGAATTCACGTTGGTCATTGACCCTATTTGTTCCAAAGTTACGCATATTTATTGTGTAGTCTAATCGCAAAATTAGTTAAGTCATCGGCTGAATATTCAACAGATTTACGGTAGGGTAACTCCATAATTACTATGCAGGCAATCAAATGCTTTCTTCCAAAAAGATCATGCTAAACTTGCCTCGCTGTCATAACCCAAGTGACTAGACAAAGTGATTCTGGCCTGTATTTTCATTTGACCTTTCACCCCTTGTTTCCATAGCATATCTCCGTTCAATAAACGCAGTCATATAAAGCCAAATTCAATTAAATGGACGAATAAAATTGAAATCCGACTCAAAACAAATATCTGAACAAATATGAAACGTAAAGAATCCAAAAACTAATTTGAGGACTTTTCACGTTACGTACAATCTTTAATCCAGTCCGTTGTTGAAGCAAAGTATATCGATAAACTAGTAACTTACGACTCAGATAACAAGATAACTAAATTTTAATTCAGGTAACAAAATCTATCCTCAAATCACAAATAACCAAACCAGATTTGTTCTAATATTAATTATAATAATCACGAAGTGAATCTTCAAATTTTAGCTTTCTTGAGCAAAACTTCCAAAATATTAAACGAAAAGCAGAGTGCAACCTAAGATGTTATAAGAAGACAAGTTCAAAATTTGGGTAAACAATTGCATTCCAAAAAAGTGAAAATAGTGGCATTCAATATAACGGTTATTATTCAGTCAAAAACTTTCAGTTCTTCCAGCAACAGCGGGTATTTATAATCCTAAAAATAATTTAGACCAATATATCATTGGAGTCAGCGTGGTTATTAAAATCCCTAAAAGGATCATTCAGAAGGAGTCGTCCAGTTGTTTGGACGAGAATCTGATCCTTCCTTTATTGTAGCATGGCTTTATTAAAGGATAATTATGTCTCATAAACTTATTAGTATCCCGTGGAATTCGGCTCACCTTTAAATATTTAAAGGTACCTATAGATGCAGCTTACATTGACCCCAGAAATGCTTTTGAGGTTTCTCACAACCGATAATTATCTAAATTGGAGTCAAATTATTTATGTGGATAAAGGACTTCTTATATGACCGTTAACAGAGATAACGGATCAACTCGAAGTTTTCTGTCCAAAAGACAGTACTTAGCGGATCTCAGAGCACAGTTTATGGCCTAGTGTTGTTTCGCCTGTATGTAAATGACCCTCCTAGTCTCTTGTCATCATCGGTTTTGTAACATACTGACGATATCAAGATATGGAGAGTGATAAAAATTGAGGTAACAATTTAGAGCTCCAAGACTATCTGCAGAAATTATCTGAATGGTCTAGAATTCGGCAACTGTCGATAAATGCCCACAATCTCATTATGATATATATTGGTTACCAACGTACAGATACATATACATTGAATAAAAGTGAGCTGCCTGTTGTCCCGACACAATGAGTCATCGTTAGTCAGGATTTGAAAACTACTGCACACTACAGTGTGATAGACGCCAATGGGTTTAGAAATCTATGGTTAACACGTCGTTTTCAGACGCGTCGATAATGAAATATTTTCGACTTTGTTCCTTCATACTTAGAGTACTGCGTTCAAGCGCCTAGCTATGATAATTAGAAGTAGTCGAATTGATTTGCTAACTAAGAATCATAGAAATAGTGCAGTTTAAGGTAAGTAGAAGTTTGCCTAACGACCCTATCCTGTAGAAAACTAACTCGCTAAAGAAACGCTAACCCGAAAAAAGTACTCAAACCATTTAAACTTTGCCCTGGGAGTTAGAAGGTTTTCATTTAGAAGAGTTGTGAAGCATCATGGTGAAAGCCGAGTTCCTTCGGAAGTCACGAGGCTGATGGCCCTCCTGACAACCAGAGCAACCATCGATTTAGACATATGGAATGCTCGCACAATGTGGGAGACCGGGAGAGTCTTCCGAATTGCTGCAGAAATGAAGAGATACAATCTGGAGGTGCTTGGAATCAGTGAAACACGTTGGACGAAGGTTAGACAACAAAGACTAGATTCAGAAGAGCTGTTGATATACTCCGGTCACGAAGAAAAAAGGTCCCACATACACAGGGAGTTGCATTGATGCTATTCAAACAAGCACAAGAAGCACTTATAGGATGGGAATCTCATGGACCCAGGATCATCAAAGCCTGCTTCAAAACAAAGAAAGAGGGCATTACAATAAACATTATCGAATACCTATGATTACAATGATGGCGTTAAAGACCAACAACACAATATGCACCAATCAAATCACACGTAACGGAGCTTTGGAGGATGTAAAAACCTTTATGTATCTGCGCAACATTATTGACAAACATGGTGGATCTGATGCAGATGTGAAGGCGCAAATCGGCAAAAGGGAGAACAGTATATCTGCAATCAAAAAACATCTAGAACTCAAAACAACTGTCGACCAACACCAAGGTCAGAATTTTCAATACAAATGTCAAGACAGTTCTACTGTATGGGACGGAAACTTGGAGAACCACGGCCATTATCCAGAAGACACAACTGCTTATTAACAGCTGTCTACGCAAAATACTTCGGATCTGTTGACCAGATACTATCAGCAACAACCTACATGAGAGAACAAATCAGGAAGAAGTGGGTAGGACACATATTGCGGAACGCACTTAACTGAGTTACAAAGCAAGCCCTCACTTGGAATCCTCAGATCCAAAGGAAAGGGGAAGATCGAAGAACACGTTACGCAGAGAAATGGAGACAGACATGAGAAAAATGAACATTTGGATAGAACTAGAAAGGAAAACCCAGGTCAGAATGGGTTGGAGGATGCTGGCCGGCGGCCTATGCTCTATTGGGAGTAACAGGAGTAAGGAGAAGAGAAATGGATGAGCACAAATGAATGTTCGATATTCCGTATTCGTAATGAGCGCGCAATTAATTGAGTAGGAATCAGTAATTTATACAAATGCTGCTGACCAAAACAGAGTGAGGTGTCGGAAAGCTCATGTATGCTTATAGGAATTTACTCTATCAAGCTCCACACAGGCGCACGAGTGCTTTTATCACAGAATATACGGGATACTGAAGAGTATATTCCCAATGAAGCAAGTTCCCCATTTGGTACTTCGTAAGAAATCGATGTGAGAATGATGAAAGACTATTTTCAAACGGTCTGAAAGTGGGTCGAGAACGAGATGACCACTGACCTACTTTTATTAATCTATTTTTATAATAAACTTCCTACCCCTTCGGAAGGAAACTATGTAATGGATATGGCCTCTCCATTTGTCCATTTAGTGACCGGTAACTAGACGACAGGTTCAGCAGAATCCTCTCTGTAAAGCAGTCTAAATGATTTCCGACGACCAATCGGCACTGTGATGCCAACAAGTCTTTTAGTATATCCCTTTTAAAGACGAACAAGCTGCATCTGATGTACGAATAAACATTATGAAAAGATGAGTCACTACCGATACATGTATCGTAAAGAAGCGCCATGAAGATTATGTCCTCCCGTACCATCAACTACACAGGATTTAAATGCCTTCCAGACGGTAACTGTAACAACACTGTTCTGAATTGCATTACTAGGCCTAAGAACTATTACCAGCATAAAGAACGTGTGTATCTGAAAACCAGTGTCCTCCTTCTCAATCGCTGGCAAATGTGTCGCACCCTGACAGTAGGGAATACTGGTGCGTTTCCAAGTTTTATTAGTAACTCTAAGCCAAAGAGAGAGAAGGGTTTAAGACCAACACCATATAAACGAACATAATATTTTTGGCTTGGCACTAAACCAGAGGAAACATCTATCTTTATTTGGGGTGAACGTCTAATCAGTCACTAGCTTTGTACATTTGGCTTCAGAGTCTGACAATTCAATTTTATGCAGATCTATGAGGTCGTTTAGATTTATTAGAGAAAGGTATCTTGAACTCCGTTAGACCTAGATTTCAAAATTGATAACATTAATATACTTTAGGCGCAATAGGCCCGGTTGAGTCTGAATTCATTTGCAAGACAAAGTCACTGAAATTAATTAACCATAGTCCAACTGCATATATAGTTGCTTACCTTCATCTTTCTGCCTAGAAGTTTTTCTAATTTGTCCTGTCTTTATTACATCCGAGTAACCCATACCTTTCCCGTCCTTATAATTACGGTTAAATCTTAGCCTTATCAGTCTAGCAAAAACATTTTCGATGGTTATTTGCACTAATTTGATCCGTATAGTAAGTATTGGTCACCTGCACATTAAAACAGGTTCATCAGATCAAGAAACAAATATATCACGTGATGAAGGACCCATTTTTAGTGGACGGAAGGATACTATCACCGACAATGACTGTCCTAGGTTTCCTATTTATCAGCTTACATTAATTATCGCCATAGTCGAGCATTTTCAATAAATTGAGTAACACAGGCGGCGATTTGGGAACATTTCAAACTATATAAGTGCAGTGTGTATCAATATTTAAGCTCCTATGCTAAACACTTCTTGCCGACAAAAGGCTGTAAATTATAAAACGATCATAGTGACTTGAAAAACAAGTAATGCTTTCACAACAAACAAGGTTATACGTTTTATATAGATAACAAATGAAGGAGTGCGAACTGAAGCACACAACAGCTTTAAGGAATTGCCATTTAATAGTACATGGAAAAAACGTTAGGAGAGACTGGAGATGGAATATTTACAGAGATAAGAGACATGGGTATATCCACTGCAGAATGAAACGGAAACTATGTTAATTAGTCATACATTCATTGAAGCCATTCGCGGAGGTAGGTCTGACCGTTGCTGTAAATAGTCTGCAGAATAAAAAGGGGAGAATATGAAGGCGTTTGAGAACCAGCTCCATCGCACACCAGGAGCCTCAATACGGATAGGGCTTCGAAACGGATTTAGAAACAGACATGTTTGATTGGAATCATTGGTTTGGTCATAACCATTGTCCAAAATGACATCAGGTTTACTTGGGCCTAAACCCAAAGAACTTGATACTTGGAAACCCCATAATGAACTGTATAAGCAAGAATCTGTAAAGAACACTGGCACACCAATTTCCTTCAAAACGAAATGAAAACATTTTACACTGAGTTAGAGATTCTAATACTATTTCAATAAATGTGTTAGATATCAAAGCTAAATGTTAGAAAAACTGCTAATAAAATAAAACTAAGGAAATACAAATTGCTGTCCGCAGACTCGGATGGTATGGATGATATTTTTGAACAATAAGTACACAGATATCCAACATTTTCCAGATTACAGTAGGACTTTAGTCATGAAATCAAAATGTTGTCGATTACCAAGGGTTTTGTTTCGGCCACTTTTGTGATCATAGAGTATTTTCAACGAGTAAATTCAAAATATACAAACGGTAAATAAGACCAAAACCGCATGGAAGTACTACAAATATATTCCCTGATGGTTCAATCAATGCTCACAATCAGTGTCACTCTATTTGTTAGGATTCAACTACAGGGAATTATTTATGAACTGCCAAGCAACATTAATTCGGTCATGAATGATTATTGTCCAATGTTCGAGTACAAGCAGCTCTACTTGATGAACTATTCAAGGTGAAAATTTTTGAGTTTTTGCACAACCATTGTTACATTTGGAGGAAATCCTGCATTTGGTAAGATTATCGTCCAAATAATTTTACGTCCGAGTCTGGCTATAGTGTAGACAGACAATCAGTCAATGAGATCATAATAAAAGCACATTGTTTAAACAGGTCTTATATATGCTTCAACGACTTTTCGAGTATTGCTTTTTGATGCTAGAACATGTTCGAGGATGCATGAGTCAGTTAGTTTATGACACGGTCCAACAAAAAGCATAGTCATGTGTGGGTTGACAACTTTTAAAATATTATAAGTCCAAGAACGGTACAACAACTGAGCATCTTGAAACATCATCGGAAATATACTAAAACTGACTACCTTACGGCTTTCTATTTTCTTGCTTTTATCTATAGAATGAAAGATATTTCTTTCCATTACGACCTATTAATTAGTATCACCTTACTTGAACTCTCACTTGTTTAAGTTTAGCTTGTGTGGCAGGGCTTGGTGAACTTAAATGTGGAGATTATTTACTTCAATAAAAATGAATGATTTGAGTTTATAAAGATAAAAAAATATAAAGTTTACTGTCACTTCATTTGACTTGAGTGTGGGCTGTGATGCTGCCGGGTGTCCAAAACGAAGCAGGTGGTTTTCTTAGGGGGTCACACCCGGAGCCTTCAACTTTAGGGTCTGGTCCACAAGACAGTAGAGCAACGTTAGGAGATGCAGTCGCATGGTAGCCGGTGACCAACATTTGGTTCATATGCAACATGTTCCTCCGGGATACTGGAGCTCATGTGCACCATTGGTTTGGAATCAGAGTTTACCAACTCCCTTACCATGTCCACCAACCCGGTTAAAGTGCCAGACATTCGTTTTCCGTCCTCTCAATTTCGTAAACACCCCGTCGGGAGAAGGCATTGAGTAAGACTTCCCAGACAGTGGTTGTATACGCGCGGTCATGTGAGAGCTAGGTTCAAGGCTAACTGCCATCCCACCGAAGTGTAGATGAGCATTGGTTGCAATTGCATGACGCTATAAAAATGGGAGTACGGTCGCTTGCGGCTTTGCGAAACGTCCCGCTTATAAGCACTGGGTTTCTTCAGCCCCCTTATTGAAGACCGTCGATTTACTACGGGTGACCGCAAACTTAACTATAAACGAAGACTGTTACGTAATGAGGCAAAGCTTGTGTAAGGATCAAGAAGCCTGGTGATCGGAACGTGCCAGCAGCTATACCTGGTGACTACCGGAAACTATCAACCCATCTGAGTCACTGGCATCAAGAAATCTGGTGTGAGTTAAACAATCTGTGAAGATGACAGGATGATAATCAGTAACATCTGCCGACGTCTCGGACTATGGGCGGAGTTTATCGACGAACACATTAAGTGGTCTGCTGTCCCGGCAACATCTATCAGACTGTTCTGCTCGTTTCAGTAACAACCGATTGCGTCCAAACCATTGGCTTCCGTCATACTTCGTAGATTATTCAAAACCGAGAAATACTGTCTCGCAAGGAGCAGACTGGTTTTCGTTCTGATCGAGGATGTATTGATCATATTTTATCCTCCGCGAAATGTTAAAACACTGTCATACTTATCACAGACCACTAACCGTGTTTTTTGACACCAGGGCTGCCTTTGATCAACTGGACAGGACTGTTCTCTGAAATTGTCTGATGAAGAAGGGTGTGTCTGAGAAGTTTATTAACATCTTGAAGGCTCTATATACAAACACCTCAGGCAGAATGAGGGCATACAACTACCTCCCTCTATTGTTCCATTCTAGAAGTGGCGTTAGGTAGGGTTGCACAATCTCACCATTCATCTTCAACTTTGCTATCGATGACGTCCAGGAAACTGCTCTGATGGATGTAGGTAATGGCGGTATGGATCTGTTGCCTGGAGAAAGAATTCTTGACCTTGAGTACGCGGATGATAGTCTTACTGTGCGATAATACCCAAGCCGTGCAATCCGCACTTAATCAGTTGGCAATCAATGTCCGTAGGTATGGTATGTGCTTTGCACCTTCGAAGCGCAAAGTACTTCTACAAGACTGGCAGGATTCTAATCCTGTACTCACTCTGGGTGGTGAGCAGATAGAAGTAGTCGGGAAGTTCATGCATCTGGGTAGCTGCATAATTGCTGACGGTGGCGTGAGTGATTTGATCAATTCACGTATAGTGAAAGCCAGAGTGGCTTACGCCAATCTGGGTCATTTTTGGCGCCTTCGTGATGTTAGTCTGGCTGTAAAAGGTCGGATCTACAACGCGTCGGTGAGAGCATTCTTACTCTATACTTGTGAAACATGGCCTCTCCGAGTTGAGGATGTTAGTCGACTCTCTGTGTTTGACCATCGTTGTCTCCGAAGGATTGCTGACATCCAGTGGCGACACCATGTCAGTAATGCAGAGGTTCGGCAGTGTGTTCGGGCACAGCGACGATAATTTAATTGGTGTCACTATCTTGAAACTTCGACTTCGGTGGCTTGGACATATTCTGCCCGGAGAATTCCACGTTGTGCATTATTTGCTGACGCTGGGACTAGTTGGAAAAAAACGAAGGTGGTCAGTGTAAGACATGGTGTCGTGGTATGACAGAAAGCTGCACAGGACTGGCTTCTGTTGGTCTGTTACGACTCCTTGGTTGGGGTCCTAGAGATGATGCAACGCAGTGGCTTGAGACGTCATCAGATATGGCTCACAATAGAAGCCAATGGCGATCTTTTGTAACTTTCTTTTATTTTCCTCATAAAAAATGGACGTAACTTCTTTAACTGGAAGTGTTCTTTCTAGTTGTACCTTTGCCAACTGAACTGCCTCTCCCGTTATTAATATCTCACTTTCATACACTAATTTCTGTTCGTTATTGTTCGCCTTTTTTTATACGCACTTTACATTCTCTATCTCTTCACATTCTTATTGTTATTGTGTGGCGCATATTTATTTGGTGCCCCTTTGTAACCAATATTTGTGTTCAAATAAATAAATAAATATCTAGTTTACGTTAAGACCGATTATTAGCTTATCATCACAATTCGAGCACGTATTTTAATACAAATCTACAGGAGACCAGAACACTAATAAAAATACGACAAACGAATTTGCGTAAACTTACAGCGATGGAAGACAGCGTGAGTGGCCAAGTTGGATAGGCAGCAAGACCAGCATTGAAACCTAAAAACAAAACAGCTACCCTTGAAACTAAAAATTAACGTAATTGTAAAACTTTGAAAGAATTAACTGGTTGTGTAATCGAAAATAAGACCGAATTTTAACTCGGCACATTCATTCAGTGCGAAAATTTCCCTAACCCTGAATCTCTTCAGAAGAGTAATCAGGATCATTACTTCAGAAGACAAATTAAAAGAAAGAGAATATAATAGACATCCTACGTTTCAATAATTCTTCTGAGAACATTGTTTAAAATAAGACTGACCGTCTGTAAATAACAACTTGGACCGATGCATATGTGCCTGACCCTACGTTGCAGCTGACTGACTGAAGAATCGTAATGAAGGATCTTGGATTGGTACTGCGGTTTTATCTTAACGGTAAGGTACAACAGGAGAGTTACAACGGATATTGAAAATGTACAAAATTAAAGCTTTCTATGAGACAACTAACACTCTTAGAAACGCTTTAGTTAGAATAAGAGATATGATCCCGTTCACTTCTACACGAAACTGTGTCCATTTTGATGCGTGACGAATGTTATAAGATGACTGTGAATATGATTTTTCTGAATACGTGTTGAAGTAAGAGCAATTTTCCCAACAGTAATTATGACTGATTTGTGCTAAGGACTGGACAGGAAGTTTTATCAAAAATCATATAGCAAGTAACTTATAGGTAGTTACAAGACACTGTACTCAGTTGTTGAGATAGATTATTTTTTAAATCTATTTGAACTCACCAGAGTATTCTCTAACCGTTTGTATTGGAAATTAAGTAATATGAACAAATTTAAGGTACCAGATGAAGTCTTAAAAATAGGCAATTCAAAATAAATATTCTACATGTTATTTCTTAAGTTAAGTTTGCGTCAGGAAATAAGCATAAGTTTACTGCAGGACACCACAGAATTTATTTGATTCCTTAACAGCTTAAATACACAAATTCTGACCGATTATTAGAGCACGAATATATCATGTATATCCTCAGTGCCTTACTTATGGAAATTAAATAAATATATAAATATTTGGAAAGTCATCGAGTAATTTAGAGTGAAATAAATATCCATTTATTAATGTATAGATTAAAGACATCTAGAAAACGGTCGGTTCTTTATGTTATTTACAGGGTAGTTTAAGATTAAAAAAGGGATATTTTCAAATATAATCAAAAATTATTATAAACTGAAAAACAACAAATAAACAATTCTAATAGTAACGACCCTTGGAAATATCGTTAGAAATATTCAGTTTGCAAAATAAGTTCACCTTTGCTTTACATACATTACTTACCAATAACTAAATCGGGTAGTTCACTTGTTGATTTTTGAGTATGCAAAAATTCATGATATAATCCACTCCAAACACTTACAGACAATCGTGAAGAAAGATGATAAACAACTCTATCCGCTGCAGAATCAAAATGTCTACCAATGAAATAGATATAGATTCTGAGTTGTGGTTTGAACAAATGATCCAGTTCCTGTTTTCAAAAGCATAATTTGCTCAAATGTGGTAAGAATGGCATTTTTTATGATTTATTTAATGATAATGAAAAAAATCGTAACTAATGTATACTCTTTTAGTGGTGCTCCGTTTTCTGCGGTGTCAGTACCATTGTTTTTAAACCTTTAGAGGATAAGTTACCTAGTTTTGTCATATCAACGAATTTAACAGTTCTTGTGAAGAAAGTTATACCGGGCAAACAACAAGACAACTTAGACAATGAGCTTGTGAACACCTCCCTTCATATAACAAAAATACACGACTCCATTCTATCACATTTGGTCGGTAGCGGTCAGTCAGCTAAACACTTTTAAACCTGGAAAATATATACATCTGTTTAAGTTACCACACTCCTTTAGCACATAAAGATGAGACTATCATGACACATTCCATAGTAATAGAATTGGTAACAGTATTAATGGTAATAAGAAAGATTATACACTTAAGATAAGACTCAAGAAAATATAAATTATTTAAACAATAAAAACTTGGGGTAGTAGATAGGATCACATGATCCAAAGTGATACATACTGCTTTTTTTATGGTGTTCGATTTCATCTCCTACATATCTGCTCCCAAACGGTGGGATTAAAATTGCTTTATACCTTTCTTTCTATGAAATAATTCTTTCTCCTTGTATTATATCCTTACATGAAATCTCTTTTATATATTGCTACCACTGAAGTAACTACCATGTATGTGGTATTCATCTTGTACTAATGAGGTGTGGCAACTTTGACCGACGCATATATATGCCTGGTCCTAAGTTGTAGCTGACTGACTGACTGACTGACTTACATGAAGTAGGAGCCATATGGATTTGAACTAGCAACTTTAATGTCTGTATTTATAAGAAATTCTCAATAACCTTACCTTCTTGGGCGGATAGGGTTTAATGACCCTATTATTGTGCTTAGTCATATGATCCACTTCTCTGTTATCGTTAACTCATAAACCGCCATGATTGGTCTAATATTTCTATACAAACACATTAATATTATTGAGTATTAGAGTGAAGATTGATAAAGATACAGTTGAAAATAATATTGTTGTCGTAAATATTTGTTCGTTTGGTTAACACTTAATTTTCAGATTCTTTTTATTTATATGAAGATCTGCAAGCGTACTGTGTTCGAAGCTATGAAACTACAAAAAGAGACAATTCGTGATAGGATCTATTTGGACAGAGGCACGTCTTTTCGGACATACAAAACAATTATAAATGAATAATATATTTGTAATATCCCAATGAGTAGAAAAATTAGATTATCTGACGTTTAGTGACTTAGAGTAAGCCACTTCTTCAGAGAATAAATAACCAAATTAAAATTAATCCAAGTTTAAATAGTACAACGGAACAATCAATTTTAAGGGATAACAACAAAAGAAAATGAAGCCATCTTCAATACTCATTGTTTATGCATTTAAAAAACAATCTATCTACATAGATACGATTGAACATGTACCATATTACTGAAAGTCGAGTACATAGACACGTATTCAGTGAACAAATTACGATCTAAAACGCTGTATCTTGAATGGTGTTAGAGTAGAACACTTGTTTATTAATCACTAACGAAATAATAAAACTTTAGAGAAATAAACTGAGAGAACTGTTAAACCTACGTATCCAGTTAAGACTAATATTATTATCAAAATTATGGAATGATTACTCCGGCATACTTTGAATACTGGCAAAAGAGAGAGTTCTTTTTCGACTCCAATCACATGTATGATAAGTTTCCGATTTATCAAAGCTTTTGGGATACAGAAGGGGTCTATTAAGAAAAAAAGGAAGGAAGAACGAAAAATGACGTGAAAACACATCAATAAATTGCTCATAACTTTACAGTAAGAAGTACAGCAATTATGCAAAAGCATAAAAATGTTGGATATTCGTCTGAACACAAAGAAGGCGTTGCTTATTTTTGACGAGTTATCAGCTTATACTGTAAAACGTCTCAAGTTGAACATACATTTCCAAAGGAGTGTTAGAAAGCCGAACGAACACATTCAACAACGTAGAAACCAACATGACTCTACGTTGTGAAACTTCAGATTAGGACTGCAAGCTCGATACGTCATAGTCAACGTAAGATTAGTTGGATCAACCCAAACTACCAAACCACAACATAGAGTTGAGATTGCCAAAATAAAGGGAAATGGGGAATCAGTTATAGGAAAAGTAACAGGCTGAAAATCAATATTGAGAGAAATAGGTAGGACAAATGAAGTTAGGCAAAGGATAATACAAAGTTGAAACCCACAGAAGGATAAGAAAGTACGAACACATTTTTCGCTGAGATTATTTTTTAGGCATGTCAGTCGTCTTGCAGATTTAAAATCAGAAGTTTGTGTCTACTTACATAAATTAGTGTAACGACTAGTAAGCTTATGGACTGTCGTCGTACTTTGGTCTGCCACTTTGATGAGTAAACGAGCAGAACTCATGGGCTACATATGATAAAAGTTAGAGAGTAAGAGGAAATCTTGAGAGTCATGCACACAGTGTTTGAAAAAAACCAGGCAGGAATCTACAAGACTCATTTATAGTGCTTTTTCCAAATAGAACTGTGAAGAGTATATATTTGGTAGATCAAAATAAAGCCCGATTGACTTTTTCGGAGCTTCTGTTCTAATTATGCCTCAAATGTTTATGAAAGTTAATATCCTAGGCGTCATATTAATCAGTCGATTTGATAAACATAAGGCAAGAAATACTAAAAATCACGCTGTGTAGTGGCTCCTTAACAGGAAGAAACACTGACTCTATGCGTTACTGAGACGAAAGTTCACAACATCATAAAAGAATGTTTGAATTTTAAAAGCACGTTCATTTACGACTGAAAAAGTTTAACTGGCCAGTGATATGGCGCGACTTACTGTACTTTATTATGTTATTGCCATTTTAGAGCAATTGGTTAATGGAGATGTGACTATATATAAAAGTAGAATAAAACTGGCAGCTTGAAAAGAAAACTCACTTATTTTTGGAAGCTTGTGTGCAACAATATGATAAAGAGTAAGAGGCCAGTGAAGTAGTAATGCCAGTGGATTAGAAATACTTTCTTCATCCGGAGAGCAAAGACCTCGCCACTTGTAGTAGTCAAGCCAATCACGCAAATTAATATTCACCAAGCTTGGATCTTGAAGATCTGGAGCAGGAGAGTCATATAATGGAGACAAACTCATAATTACAGCGAGTGACGGGGACACGAATGCCTGGATTAGAGCACCCTTGTTTTTATTTGTGTTCAGTGTCTATCACTTATCAAGCTTTAAACGACACTTTATCTAGAGATCATTTTTCGCTATGAGATCACAAAACAGGTTTATGGAGCAAGTAAAACATCATTGCGGCAGACCTATATACTATTTCCTTGTTGACGATGGGATGATTTTAGAATCAGCAGAAAATTTGTAAAACAACGTGATAATGGTTTGCAGCACCTCTTATATGCAGCCGGTGTGAGTCTGGTGCACAGATTATGATACCACCAATTGCAGTTGTCACATTTCATCCGCAATGATGTTTTACTTGCTCCATAAACTTGTTTTGTGATCTTATAGCGAAAAATGATCTCTAGATAAAGTGTCGTTTAAAGCTTGATAAGTGATAGACGCTGAACACAAATAAAAACAAGAGTTCATATATAACTGTACCTAAAAATAAAAAAATCCGGCTTCAGCAGTTACAAAAAGACCTTAACACCTATGAATACAAATAATACTGAAAGATAAAATCAACTGTGAAGAATAAATACCAGTGCTCGTAGTTTTTAGTATCTGTACCCTTAAAATACAGATAATAAACTTTTCTAGGAAGAAATCGATACTATTAGGGATTACGTTAACTGAAATAAATTCAATTAAAGTAAAAACAGCAGACTGGATGCGCGATTTAACGATTAATACTATAAAATATACTCAGAGGAAAATTACCAGTCTTTTTCGAATAGCAAAATTTAGCTGTTGTTGTCAAATGCCTTGCAAATATATTTTCAAACCCTTCATTTTCGACTTGTGGTTTGATTAGGTACTACGTATAAAGGCGGTGTCAAACTGCGATTACATCCGGCACCTATAGACATAACCGTATACTCATTTCGGATTATGATATCTGGTTGAGCATCTATCTGTCAAATGCACAATCTCAATTCTACTGGCCAACTTGTGGTCAGCTGTGTGATTGATTCAATCTTCTCAATAATCTTTTGTTTGGTCGCTTTTTTCTTTCTTTATCTGTTAGTCGCGTTTCCTTTCTATATTGATGCATAAATACTTGAGACACGTTGAGTAATTGACCCTCTGGACAGCATGAATCTTGCTTTAGTACATAAAGATCAGATACAGCCTTGGATTAATTACACTACACTACGATTAATAGGTGTTCTATTGCCAGTGTTTTTTCTATTTTAATACAATTACTGTTGATTATATTGGCAATTTCAACAAAAATCCAATTCAATTACAAATAAATTTGATTCTGGTTTTAGTCTAGAACTGCTAGTATTGCAGTTCAGCCTTTTCTACTCAGTCCCACTGTGGATTCACTTTTTATCACCTCCGTATTTGCCAGTTAATTCAATTACTTGAAAATATATTCAGGAAGATATGCGTTCTAGTTTTCGCTTGATTCATTTCTTCGCAGTCACCCAATATGAAGATACGCATCTGTAAATTTTATGGCATTTCCATCCGTGATTCCCTGTATGTCTCTTTGTAGTGTCAGTGGTAATTTTCCTTTCAGTTTTATCCCTCATTTCCTTACTTCTAGAGAATATGTCAGGTTTGCTCAGTCGTTGTCCCTGATAGAACTTCACCCCATGCCCAAAACAATTTCAGAGTACAATCTCCTCGGGATGAATATTTATTAAGAGCTTTCGCTGCCCAATTAATACCCTTGCATTTGTTTTTATTTACAAATTGTCAGTGTTCAATTGGAAGGTCAGATGAGATGGAGATAGTCGCGGTTGCCTGCTGCGTCTGTGGCAAAGAAATTCCAGAGAGTCAGGCTTTATACTGGTACAGTTGCCGAAAGTTCCATCTACTTCGATTAGCCCTCAATGTAAAGCATTATTTTACTGCAGTGACAAGTGTAGGACTGCGGATTGGATAGCTTCGGACAATCCAGATCACAGTCATCAGCAGTGGTGTAGTAAAATGAAAGATTTTATGAGCTTCGAGCCCTTTCTTCATAAACTGCCTTTTACTTTTGCTTCCAGTAAGTTAAAAAAATTTGTAGTTAATACCACCAGTAACTACTGCTGCAGATTTTACGCATTTTAAATTAGACGAGATCCTCTCGCGTTTCGGAGTAAATCGCCAAGGCCTCTGGAAATATGAGTTTTCTTCTAATTCACATCAATCCCAGATTTCTCCAGGTAATTTTATGGATCCAAACTAATTATATCATTCCCAACTATTAATTTATACCTCTTGGTGTACTCTTCATCTATTGTTCTCGTTGTGATGTTTGCTGGTGTACTAACGTGGGAGCATCCATAACTGTCTGAAAGCATGGTTTCCTACGTGGATTGTCGCTGAGATAACGGAGAAATCGAGTTTCTAGATCTACATCGGTTCGAAAAGCTTGACGGTTCAATTTATTTGACTCGGGGCACTTAGAAGTCATTCACCATATCATCCTTTCTGTCTGATAAATGTCAAATTCTAAAACGAAATTTGCACATTGGCTACAACTGATTTTGCTTCTTTTCATTACTGTTTCTAAAACCACTCCACAGTTTTTGGGATTACTTAATTGCTATCATGACCATTCATAGCGATGGTTTTATCAGTCTACAGTCTCTTCGTTCTCAATTCTTTTAGAAGAAATATTTTTGATGAGACTATAATTTATGGGCGAACCAGTCCGGTATAAGATAACAGGTCCCGGTTTTTGGCGCGAAATCCACTCATCCATTTGGCTAAATAGAGATTTGGCATTATAGCTAATGTAAGTTCGTGGTGAAAACTCTAAATCTAATTCCTAACATTGGCCATCAACTGTGAATCATAATTTTAATTTATCACATTGGTTATTAAGTGAACACTCAAAGTCACTCCAGCGTCGCTCAGAGGTAGTCCATAGATTATAGTCTCACAATATTTTTGTTTATCTGTTGCGTAGAAAGAAGTAAGTTAGTTGTTGCTAGTTACAACGTAATACTTCCAGATTATGAACCATACTTTCAAGGTATTTACACATGAGGATGCCAACATTGGGAATTTCCATACAAACCAGTGATTCCACTTTAAAAATAATGATACATACATTAATTTACCTATTAATCGTTGAATTTTAGGTGGTGATCTCCCACTTTTCTCAGATTTGTGGACTACCACCACCATGGATTCTGAAAAACTCTCACCGGTCACTCTGTCATCGTCATCATCTTATGATGATGCTCTAGTCCGGGCATTTGTGTCCCCGTCACTCGCTGTAATTATGAGTTTGTCTCCATTATATGACTCTCCTGCTCCAGATCTTCAAGATCCAAGCTTGGTGAATATTAATTTGCGTGATTGGCTTGACTACTACAAGTGGCGAGGTCTTTGCTCTCCGGATGAAGAAAGTATTTCTAATCCACTGGCATTACTACTTCACTGGCCTCTTACTCTTTATCATATTGTTGCACACAAGCTTCCAAAAATAAGTGAGTTTTCTTTTCAAGCTGCCAGTTTTATTCTACTTTTATATATAGTCACATCTCCATTAACCAATTGCTCTAAAATGGCAATAACATAATAAAGTACAGTAAGTCGCGCCATATCACTGGCCAGTTAAACTTTTTCAGTCGTAAATGAACGTGCTTTTAAAATTCAAACATTCTTTTATGATGTTGTGAACTTTCGTCTCAGTAACGCATAGAGTCAGTGTTTCTTCCTGTTAAGGAGCCACTACACAGCGTGATTTTTAGTATTTCTTGCCTTATGTTTATCAAATCGACTGATTAATATGACGCCTAGGATATTAACTTTCATAAACATTTGAGGCATAATTAGAACAGAAGCTCCGAAAAAGTCAATCGGGCTTTATTTTGATCTACCAAATATATACTCTTCACAGTTCTATTTGGAAAAAGCACTATAAATGAGTCTTGTAGATTCCTGCCTGGTTTTTTTTCAAACACTGTGTGCATGACTCTCAAGATTTCCTCTTACTCTCTAACTTTTATCATATGTAGCCCATGAGTTCTGCTCGTTTACTCATCAAAGTGGCAGACCAAAGTACGACGACAGTCCATAAGCTTACTAGTCGTTACACTAATTTATGTAAGTAGACACAAACTTCTGATTTTAAATCTGCAAGACGACTGACATGCCTAAAAAATAATCTCAGCGAAAAATGTGTTCGTACTTTCTTATCCTTCTGTGGGTTTCAACTTTGTATTATCCTTTGCCTAACTTCATTTGTCCTACCTATTTCTCTCAATATTGATTTTCAGCCTGTTACTTTTCCTATAACTGATTCCCCATTTCCCTTTATTTTGGCAATCTCAACTCTATGTTGTGGTTTGGTAGTTTGGGTTGATCCAACTAATCTTACGTTGACTATGACGTATCGAGCTTGCAGTCCTAATCTGAAGTTTCACAACGTAGAGTCATGTTGGTTTCTACGTTGTTGAATGTGTTCGTTCGGCTTTCTAACACTCCTTTGGAAATGTATGTTCAACTTGAGACGTTTTACAGTATAAGCTGATAACTCGTCAAAAATAAGCAACGCCTTCTTTGTGTTCAGACGAATATCCAACATTTTTATGCTTTTGCATAATTGCTGTACTTCTTACTGTAAAGTTATGAGCAATTTATTGATGTGTTTTCACGTCATTTTTCGTTCTTCCTTCCTTTTTTTCTTAATAGACCCCTTCTGTATCCCAAAAGCTTTGATAAATCGGAAACTTATCATACATGTGATTGGAGTCGAAAAAGAACTCTCTCTTTTGCCAGTATTCAAAGTATGCCGGAGTAATCATTCCATAATTTTGATAATAATATTAGTCTTAACTGGATACGTAGGTTTAACAGTTCTCTCAGTTTATTTCTCTAAAGTTTTATTATTTCGTTAGTGATTAATAAACAAGTGTTCTACTCTAACACCATTCAAGATACAGCGTTTTAGATCGTAATTTGTTCACTGAATACGTGTCTATGTACTCGACTTTCAGTAATATGGTACATGTTCAATCGTATCTATGTAGATAGATTGTTTTTTAAATGCATAAACAATGAGTATTGAAGATGGCTTCATTTTCTTTTGTTGTTATCCCTTAAAATTGATTGTTCCGTTGTACTATTTAAACTTGGATTAATTTTAATTTGGTTATTTATTCTCTGAAGAAGTGGCTTACTCTAAGTCACTAAACGTCAGATAATCTAATTTTTCTACTCATTGGGATATTACAAATATATTATTCATTTATAATTGTTTTGTATGTCCGAAAAGACGTGCCTCTGTCCAAATAGATCCTATCACGAATTGTCTCTTTTTGTAGTTTCATAGCTTCGAACACAGTACGCTTGCAGATCTTCATATAAATAAAAAGAATCTGAAAATTAAGTGTTAACCAAACGAACAAATATTTACGACAACAATATTATTTTCAACTGTATCTTTATCAATCTTCACTCTAATACTCAATAATATTAATGTGTTTGTATAGAAATATTAGACCAATCATGGCGGTTTATGAGTTAACGATAACAGAGAAGTGGATCATATGACTAAGCACAATAATAGGGTCATTAAACCCTATCCGCCCAAGAAGGTAAGGTTATTGAGAATTTCTTATAAATACAGACATTAAAGTTGCTAGTTCAAATCCATATGGCTCCTACTTCATGTAAGTCAGTCAGTCAGTCAGTCAGTCAGTCAGTCAGTCAGTCAGCTACAACTTAGGACCAGGCATATATATGCGTCGGTCAAAGTTGCCACACCTCATTAGTACAAGATGAATACCACATACATGGTAGTTACTTCAGTGGTAGCAATATATAAAAGAGATTTCATGTAAGGATATAATACAAGGAGAAAGAATTATTTCATAGAAAGAAAGGTATAAAGCAATTTTAATCCCACCGTTTGGGAGCAGATATGTAGGAGATGAAATCGAACACCATAAAAAAAGCAGTATGTATCACTTTGGATCATGTGATCCTATCTACTACCCCAAGTTTTTATTGTTTAAATAATTTATATTTTCTTGAGTCTTATCTTAAGTGTATAATCTTTCTTATTACCATTAATACTGTTACCAATTCTATTACTATGGAATGTGTCATGATAGTCTCATCTTTATGTGCTAAAGGAGTGTGGTAACTTAAACAGATGTATATATTTTCCAGGTTTAAAAGTGTTTAGCTGACTGACCGCTACCGACCAAATGTGATAGAATGGAGTCGTGTATTTTTGTTATATGAAGGGAGGTGTTCACAAGCTCATTGTCTAAGTTGTCTTGTTGTTTGCCCGGTATAACTTTCTTCACAAGAACTGTTAAATTCGTTGATATGACAAAACTAGGTAACTTATCCTCTAAAGGTTTAAAAACAATGGTACTGACACCGCAGAAAACGGAGCACCACTAAAAGAGTATACATTAGTTACGATTTTTTTCATTATCATTAAATAAATCATAAAAAATGCCATTCTTACCACATTTGAGCAAATTATGCTTTTGAAAACAGGAACTGGATCATTTGTTCAAACCACAACTCAGAATCTATATCTATTTCATTGGTAGACATTTTGATTCTGCAGCGGATAGAGTTGTTTATCATCTTTCTTCACGATTGTCTGTAAGTGTTTGGAGTGGATTATATCATGAATTTTTGCATACTCAAAAATCAACAAGTGAACTACCCGATTTAGTTATTGGTAAGTAATGTATGTAAAGCAAAGGTGAACTTATTTTGCAAACTGAATATTTCTAACGATATTTCCAAGGGTCGTTACTATTAGAATTGTTTATTTGTTGTTTTTCAGTTTATAATAATTTTTGATTATATTTGAAAATATCCCTTTTTTAATCTTAAACTACCCTGTAAATAACATAAAGAACCGACCGTTTTCTAGATGTCTTTAATCTATACATTAATAAATGGATATTTATTTCACTCTAAATTACTCGATGACTTTCCAAATATTTATATATTTATTTAATTTCCATAAGTAAGGCACTGAGGATATACATGATATATTCGTGCTCTAATAATCGGTCAGAATTTGTGTATTTAAGCTGTTAAGGAATCAAATAAATTCTGTGGTGTCCTGCAGTAAACTTATGCTTATTTCCTGACGCAAACTTAACTTAAGAAATAACATGTAGAATATTTATTTTGAATTGCCTATTTTTAAGACTTCATCTGGTACCTTAAATTTGTTCATATTACTTAATTTCCAATACAAACGGTTAGAGAATACTCTGGTGAGTTCAAATAGATTTAAAAAATAATCTATCTCAACAACTGAGTACAGTGTCTTGTAACTACCTATAAGTTACTTGCTATATGATTTTTGATAAAACTTCCTGTCCAGTCCTTAGCACAAATCAGTCATAATTACTGTTGGGAAAATTGCTCTTACTTCAACACGTATTCAGAAAAATCATATTCACAGTCATCTTATAACATTCGTCACGCATCAAAATGGACACAGTTTCGTGTAGAAGTGAACGGGATCATATCTCTTATTCTAACTAAAGCGTTTCTAAGAGTGTTAGTTGTCTCATAGAAAGCTTTAATTTTGTACATTTTCAATATCCGTTGTAACTCTCCTGTTGTACCTTACCGTTAAGATAAAACCGCAGTACCAATCCAAGATCCTTCATTACGATTCTTCAGTCAGTCAGCTGCAACGTAGGGTCAGGCACATATGCATCGGTCCAAGTTGTTATTTACAGACGGTCAGTCTTATTTTAAACAATGTTCTCAGAAGAATTATTGAAACGTAGGATGTCTATTATATTCTCTTTCTTTTAATTTGTCTTCTGAAGTAATGATCCTGATTACTCTTCTGAAGAGATTCAGGGTTAGGGAAATTTTCGCACTGAATGAATGTGCCGAGTTAAAATTCGGTCTTATTTTCGATTACACAACCAGTTAATTCTTTCAAAGTTTTACAATTACGTTAATTTTTAGTTTCAAGGGTAGCTGTTTTGTTTTTAGGTTTCAATGCTGGTCTTGCTGCCTATCCAACTTGGCCACTCACGCTGTCTTCCATCGCTGTAAGTTTACGCAAATTCGTTTGTCGTATTTTTATTAGTGTTCTGGTCTCCTGTAGATTTGTATTAAAATACGTGCTCGAATTGTGATGATAAGCTAATAATCGGTCTTAACGTAAACTAGATATTTATTTATTTATTTGAACACAAATATTGGTTACAAAGGGGCACCAAATAAATATGCGCCACACAATAACAATAAGAATGTGAAGAGATAGAGAATGTAAAGTGCGTATAAAAAAAGGCGAACAATAACGAACAGAAATTAGTGTATGAAAGTGAGATATTAATAACGGGAGAGGCAGTTCAGTTGGCAAAGGTACAACTAGAAAGAACACTTCCAGTTAAAGAAGTTACGTCCATTTTTTATGAGGAAAATAAAAGAAAGTTACAAAAGATCGCCATTGGCTTCTATTGTGAGCCATATCTGATGACGTCTCAAGCCACTGCGTTGCATCATCTCTAGGACCCCAACCAAGGAGTCGTAACAGACCAACAGAAGCCAGTCCTGTGCAGCTTTCTGTCATACCACGACACCATGTCTTACACTGACCACCTTCGTTTTTTCCAACTAGTCCCAGCGTCAGCAAATAATGCACAACGTGGAATTCTCCGGGCAGAATATGTCCAAGCCACCGAAGTCGAAGTTTCAAGATAGTGACACCAATTAAATTATCGTCGCTGTGCCCGAACACACTGCCGAACCTCTGCATTACTGACATGGTGTCGCCACTGGATGTCAGCAATCCTTCGGAGACAACGATGGTCAAACACAGAGAGTCGACTAACATCCTCAACTCGGAGAGGCCATGTTTCACAAGTATAGAGTAAGAATGCTCTCACCGACGCGTTGTAGATCCGACCTTTTACAGCCAGACTAACATCACGAAGGCGCCAAAAATGACCCAGATTGGCGTAAGCCACTCTGGCTTTCACTATACGTGAATTGATCAAATCACTCACGCCACCGTCAGCAATTATGCAGCTACCCAGATGCATGAACTTCCCGACTACTTCTATCTGCTCACCACCCAGAGTGAGTACAGGATTAGAATCCTGCCAGTCTTGTAGAAGTACTTTGCGCTTCGAAGGTGCAAAGCACATACCATACCTACGGACATTGATTGCCAACTGATTAAGTGCGGATTGCACGGCTTGGGTATTATCGCACAGTAAGACTATCATCCGCGTACTCAAGGTCAAGAATTCTTTCTCCAGGCAACAGATCCATACCGCCACTACCTACATCCATCAGAGCAGTTTCCTGGACGTCATCGATAGCAAAGTTGAAGATGAATGGTGAGATTGTGCAACCCTACCTAACGCCACTTCTAGAATGGAACAATAGAGGGAGGTAGTTGTATGCCCTCATTCTGCCTGAGGTGTTTGTATATAGAGCCTTCAAGATGTTAATAAACTTCTCAGACACACCCTTCTTCATCAGACAATTTCAGAGAACAGTCCTGTCCAGTTGATCAAAGGCAGCCCTGGTGTCAAAAAACACGGTTAGTGGTCTGTGATAAGTATGACAGTGTTTTAACATTTCGCGGAGGATAAAATATGATCAATACATCCTCGATCAGAACGAAAACCAGTCTGCTCCTTGCGAGACAGTATTTCTCGGTTTTGAATAATCTACGAAGTATGACGGAAGCCAATGGTTTGGACGCAATCGGTTGTTACTGAAACGAGCAGAACAGTCTGATAGATGTTGCCGGGACAGCAGACCACTTAATGTGTTCGTCGATAAACTCCGCCCATAGTCCGAGACGTCGGCAGATGTTACTGATTATCATCCTGTCATCTTCACAGATTGTTTAACTCACACCAGATTTCTTGATGCCAGTGACTCAGATGGGTTGATAGTTTCCGGTAGTCACCAGGTATAGCTGCTGGCACGTTCCGATCACCAGGCTTCTTGATCCTTACACAAGCTTTGCCTCATTACGTAACAGTCTTCGTTTATAGTTAAGTTTGCGGTCACCCGTAGTAAATCGACGGTCTTCAATAAGGGGGCTGAAGAAACCCAGTGCTTATAAGCGGGACGTTTCGCAAAGCCGCAAGCGACCGTACTCCCATTTTTATAGCGTCATGCAATTGCAACCAATGCTCATCTACACTTCGGTGGGATGGCAGTTAGCCTTGAACCTAGCTCTCACATGACCGCGCGTATACAACCACTGTCTGGGAAGTCTTACTCAATGCCTTCTCCCGACGGGGTGTTTACGAAATTGAGAGGACGGAAAACGAATGTCTGGCACTTTAACCGGGTTGGTGGACATGGTAAGGGAGTTGGTAAACTCTGATTCCAAACCAATGGTGCACATGAGCTCCAGTATCCCGGAGGAACATGTTGCATATGAACCAAATGTTGGTCACCGGCTACCATGCGACTGCATCTCCTAACGTTGCTCTACTGTCTTGTGGACCAGACCCTAAAGTTGAAGGCTCCGGGTGTGACCCCCTAAGAAAACCACCTGCTTCGTTTTGGGCACCCGGCAGCATCACAGCCCACACTCAAGTCAAATGAAGTGACAGTAAACTTTATATTTTTTTATCTTTATAAACTCAAATCATTCATTTTTATTGAAGTAAATAATCTCCACATTTAAGTTCACCAAGCCCTGCCACACAAGCTAAACTTAAACAAGTGAGAGTTCAAGTAAGGTGATACTAATTAATAGGTCGTAATGGAAAGAAATATCTTTCATTCTATAGATAAAAGCAAGAAAATAGAAAGCCGTAAGGTAGTCAGTTTTAGTATATTTCCGATGATGTTTCAAGATGCTCAGTTGTTGTACCGTTCTTGGACTTATAATATTTTAAAAGTTGTCAACCCACACATGACTATGCTTTTTGTTGGACCGTGTCATAAACTAACTGACTCATGCATCCTCGAACATGTTCTAGCATCAAAAAGCAATACTCGAAAAGTCGTTGAAGCATATATAAGACCTGTTTAAACAATGTGCTTTTATTATGATCTCATTGACTGATTGTCTGTCTACACTATAGCCAGACTCGGACGTAAAATTATTTGGACGATAATCTTACCAAATGCAGGATTTCCTCCAAATGTAACAATGGTTGTGCAAAAACTCAAAAATTTTCACCTTGAATAGTTCATCAAGTAGAGCTGCTTGTACTCGAACATTGGACAATAATCATTCATGACCGAATTAATGTTGCTTGGCAGTTCATAAATAATTCCCTGTAGTTGAATCCTAACAAATAGAGTGACACTGATTGTGAGCATTGATTGAACCATCAGGGAATATATTTGTAGTACTTCCATGCGGTTTTGGTCTTATTTACCGTTTGTATATTTTGAATTTACTCGTTGAAAATACTCTATGATCACAAAAGTGGCCGAAACAAAACCCTTGGTAATCGACAACATTTTGATTTCATGACTAAAGTCCTACTGTAATCTGGAAAATGTTGGATATCTGTGTACTTATTGTTCAAAAATATCATCCATACCATCAGAGTCTGCGGACAGCAATTTGTATTTCCTTAGTTTTATTTTATTAGCAGTTTTTCTAACATTTAGCTTTGATATCTAACACATTTATTGAAATAGTATTAGAATCTCTAACTCAGTGTAAAATGTTTTCATTTCGTTTTGAAGGAAATTGGTGTGCCAGTGTTCTTTACAGATTCTTGCTTATACAGTTCATTATGGGGTTTCCAAGTATCAAGTTCTTTGGGTTTAGGCCCAAGTAAACCTGATGTCATTTTGGACAATGGTTATGACCAAACCAATGATTCCAATCAAACATGTCTGTTTCTAAATCCGTTTCGAAGCCCTATCCGTATTGAGGCTCCTGGTGTGCGATGGAGCTGGTTCTCAAACGCCTTCATATTCTCCCCTTTTTATTCTGCAGACTATTTACAGCAACGGTCAGACCTACCTCCGCGAATGGCTTCAATGAATGTATGACTAATTAACATAGTTTCCGTTTCATTCTGCAGTGGATATACCCATGTCTCTTATCTCTGTAAATATTCCATCTCCAGTCTCTCCTAACGTTTTTTCCATGTACTATTAAATGGCAATTCCTTAAAGCTGTTGTGTGCTTCAGTTCGCACTCCTTCATTTGTTATCTATATAAAACGTATAACCTTGTTTGTTGTGAAAGCATTACTTGTTTTTCAAGTCACTATGATCGTTTTATAATTTACAGCCTTTTGTCGGCAAGAAGTGTTTAGCATAGGAGCTTAAATATTGATACACACTGCACTTATATAGTTTGAAATGTTCCCAAATCGCCGCCTGTGTTACTCAATTTATTGAAAATGCTCGACTATGGCGATAATTAATGTAAGCTGATAAATAGGAAACCTAGGACAGTCATTGTCGGTGATAGTATCCTTCCGTCCACTAAAAATGGGTCCTTCATCACGTGATATATTTGTTTCTTGATCTGATGAACCTGTTTTAATGTGCAGGTGACCAATACTTACTATACGGATCAAATTAGTGCAAATAACCATCGAAAATGTTTTTGCTAGACTGATAAGGCTAAGATTTAACCGTAATTATAAGGACGGGAAAGGTATGGGTTACTCGGATGTAATAAAGACAGGACAAATTAGAAAAACTTCTAGGCAGAAAGATGAAGGTAAGCAACTATATATGCAGTTGGACTATGGTTAATTAATTTCAGTGACTTTGTCTTGCAAATGAATTCAGACTCAACCGGGCCTATTGCGCCTAAAGTATATTAATGTTATCAATTTTGAAATCTAGGTCTAACGGAGTTCAAGATACCTTTCTCTAATAAATCTAAACGACCTCATAGATCTGCATAAAATTGAATTGTCAGACTCTGAAGCCAAATGTACAAAGCTAGTGACTGATTAGACGTTCACCCCAAATAAAGATAGATGTTTCCTCTGGTTTAGTGCCAAGCCAAAAATATTATGTTCGTTTATATGGTGTTGGTCTTAAACCCTTCTCTCTCTTTGGCTTAGAGTTACTAATAAAACTTGGAAACGCACCAGTATTCCCTACTGTCAGGGTGCGACACATTTGCCAGCGATTGAGAAGGAGGACACTGGTTTTCAGATACACACGTTCTTTATGCTGGTAATAGTTCTTAGGCCTAGTAATGCAATTCAGAACAGTGTTGTTACAGTTACCGTCTGGAAGGCATTTAAATCCTGTGTAGTTGATGGTACGGGAGGACATAATCTTCATGGCGCTTCTTTACGATACATGTATCGGTAGTGACTCATCTTTTCATAATGTTTATTCGTACATCAGATGCAGCTTGTTCGTCTTTAAAAGGGATATACTAAAAGACTTGTTGGCATCACAGTGCCGATTGGTCGTCGGAAATCATTTAGACTGCTTTACAGAGAGGATTCTGCTGAACCTGTCGTCTAGTTACCGGTCACTAAATGGACAAATGGAGAGGCCATATCCATTACATAGTTTCCTTCCGAAGGGGTAGGAAGTTTATTATAAAAATAGATTAATAAAAGTAGGTCAGTGGTCATCTCGTTCTCGACCCACTTTCAGACCGTTTGAAAATAGTCTTTCATCATTCTCACATCGATTTCTTACGAAGTACCAAATGGGGAACTTGCTTCATTGGGAATATACTCTTCAGTATCCCGTATATTCTGTGATAAAAGCACTCGTGCGCCTGTGTGGAGCTTGATAGAGTAAATTCCTATAAGCATACATGAGCTTTCCGACACCTCACTCTGTTTTGGTCAGCAGCATTTGTATAAATTACTGATTCCTACTCAATTAATTGCGCGCTCATTACGAATACGGAATATCGAACATTCATTTGTGCTCATCCATTTCTCTTCTCCTTACTCCTGTTACTCCCAATAGAGCATAGGCCGCCGGCCAGCATCCTCCAACCCATTCTGACCTGGGTTTTCCTTTCTAGTTCTATCCAAATGTTCATTTTTCTCATGTCTGTCTCCATTTCTCTGCGTAACGTGTTCTTCGATCTTCCCCTTTCCTTTGGATCTGAGGATTCCAAGTGAGGGCTTGCTTTGTAACTCAGTTAAGTGCGTTCCGCAATATGTGTCCTACCCACTTCTTCCTGATTTGTTCTCTCATGTAGGTTGTTGCTGATAGTATCTGGTCAACAGATCCGAAGTATTTTGCGTAGACAGCTGTTAATAAGCAGTTGTGTCTTCTGGATAATGGCCGTGGTTCTCCAAGTTTCCGTCCCATACAGTAGAACTGTCTTGACATTTGTATTGAAAATTCTGACCTTGGTGTTGGTCGACAGTTGTTTTGAGTTCTAGATGTTTTTTGATTGCAGATATACTGTTCTCCCTTTTGCCGATTTGCGCCTTCACATCTGCATCAGATCCACCATGTTTGTCAATAATGTTGCGCAGATACATAAAGGTTTTTACATCCTCCAAAGCTCCGTTACGTGTGATTTGATTGGTGCATATTGTGTTGTTGGTCTTTAACGCCATCATTGTAATCATAGGTATTCGATAATGTTTATTGTAATGCCCTCTTTCTTTGTTTTGAAGCAGGCTTTGATGATCCTGGGTCCATGAGATTCCCATCCTATAAGTGCTTCTTGTGCTTGTTTGAATAGCATCAATGCAACTCCCTGTGTATGTGGGACCTTTTTTCTTCGTGACCGGAGTATATCAACAGCTCTTCTGAATCTAGTCTTTGTTGTCTAACCTTCGTCCAACGTGTTTCACTGATTCCAAGCACCTCCAGATTGTATCTCTTCATTTCTGCAGCAATTCGGAAGACTCTCCCGGTCTCCCACATTGTGCGAGCATTCCATATGTCTAAATCGATGGTTGCTCTGGTTGTCAGGAGGGCCATCAGCCTCGTGACTTCCGAAGGAACTCGGCTTTCACCATGATGCTTCACAACTCTTCTAAATGAAAACCTTCTAACTCCCAGGGCAAAGTTTAAATGGTTTGAGTACTTTTTTCTGGTTAGCGTTTCTTTAGCGAGTTAGTTTTCTACAGGATAGGGTCGTTAGGCAAACTTCTACTTACCTTAAACTGCACTATTTCTATGATTCTTAGTTAGCAAATCAATTCGACTACTTCTAATTATCATAGCTAGGCGCTTGAACGCAGTACTCTAAGTATGAAGGAACAAAGTCGAAAATATTTCATTATCGACGCGTCTGAAAACGACGTGTTAACCATAGATTTCTAAACCCATTGGCGTCTATCACACTGTAGTGTGCAGTAGTTTTCAAATTCTGACTAACGATGACTCATTGTGTCGGGACAACAGGCAGCTCACTTTTATTCAATGTATATGTATCTGTACGTTGGTAACCAATATATATCATAATGAGATTGTGGGCATTTATCGACAGTTGCCGAATTCTAGACCATTCAGATAATTTCTGCAGATAGTCTTGGAGCTCTAAATTGTTACCTCAATTTTTATCACTCTCCATATCTTGATATCGTCAGTATGTTACAAAACCGATGATGACAAGAGACTAGGAGGGTCATTTACATACAGGCGAAACAACACTAGGCCATGAACTGTGCTCTGAGATCCGCTAAGTACTGTCTTTTGGACAGAAAACTTCGAGTTGATCCGTTATCTCTGTTAACGGTCATATAAGAAGTCCTTTATCCACATAAATAATTTGACTCCAATTTAGATAATTATCGGTTGTGAGAAACCTCAAAAGCATTTCTGGGGTCAATGTAAGCTGCATCTATAGGTACCTTTAAATATTTAAAGGTGAGCCGAATTCCACGGGATACTAATAAGTTTATGAGACATAATTATCCTTTAATAAAGCCATGCTACAATAAAGGAAGGATCAGATTCTCGTCCAAACAACTGGACGACTCCTTCTGAATGATCCTTTTAGGGATTTTAATAACCACGCTGACTCCAATGATATATTGGTCTAAATTATTTTTAGGATTATAAATACCCGCTGTTGCTGGAAGAACTGAAAGTTTTTGACTGAATAATAACCGTTATATTGAATGCCACTATTTTCACTTTTTTGGAATGCAATTGTTTACCCAAATTTTGAACTTGTCTTCTTATAACATCTTAGGTTGCACTCTGCTTTTCGTTTAATATTTTGGAAGTTTTGCTCAAGAAAGCTAAAATTTGAAGATTCACTTCGTGATTATTATAATTAATATTAGAACAAATCTGGTTTGGTTATTTGTGATTTGAGGATAGATTTTGTTACCTGAATTAAAATTTAGTTATCTTGTTATCTGAGTCGTAAGTTACTAGTTTATCGATATACTTTGCTTCAACAACGGACTGGATTAAAGATTGTACGTAACGTGAAAAGTCCTCAAATTAGTTTTTGGATTCTTTACGTTTCATATTTGTTCAGATATTTGTTTTGAGTCGGATTTCAATTTTATTCGTCCATTTAATTGAATTTGGCTTTATATGACTGCGTTTATTGAACGGAGATATGCTATGGAAACAAGGGGTGAAAGGTCAAATGAAAATACAGGCCAGAATCACTTTGTCTAGTCACTTGGGTTATGACAGCGAGGCAAGTTTAGCATGATCTTTTTGGAAGAAAGCATTTGATTGCCTGCATAGTAATTATGGAGTTACCCTACCGTAAATCTGTTGAATATTCAGCCGATGACTTAACTAATTTTGCGATTAGACTACACAATAAATATGCGTAACTTTGGAACAAATAGGGTCAATGACCAACGTGAATTCCGCAGCTAATTTGGAAATAATTGTCACATCTGCCACTAATCTACAGAATAAGTGGGCAAAAGTTACCAATAAGACCATGATGGTATGCAACGAACCAGACATTATTATCATTGACAGTGTTTTCATTTTTTTTCTCTCTGCTCGTTACGCTATGTTACATTACTACTATCCTCAAACGCTAACACAACGCATTTTGCTAACGCATATATCACGTCCATCTCCACAATTTTTGTTGTTTATAACTGTAAATATTATTTTTGTACATATGTATATATCATTTTCTTACATTTTCTTTTGTTATTACAACCAGTTTTACCCCCGGAAACTCTGGGGGGAGGTATGTGGAGATAGGTCTGTCAAACTTATTTTGTAAATAATTTTTAACATTATTTGTATTCATTTTGTCAATCTTTCACTGTGTGTACATTTATTGTTAAATCATTGTACCTGTTGTTTTAGTAAATGACCTTGATCACT